TTGCAATGTACTTCTGATAGTAATATTGCTAGTTCAAGCTCAAATATTACCACCCTTACCAAAAATAAAAAAACATCCGTGGTCACTCCATATTTTACAAAAAAACTGGACGATGATTCTTTAGTTACTTGCATTATTTGCAAAAATTCATTTAGCAAAAAAACAGCAACAGGCACATTACGCAAGCATCTTGACACACAACATCCAGGATGGAGTACAATTGAGATTTTTGCACTTACACAAACGGTTTCAACACAAAGTTTGACGGTTGACCAAAAGACACAGTTTAATATTATATTGGCCAAATGGATTGTTTCGGACACCTTACCTTTTTCAATAGTTGGAAGCAAAGCATTAATCACTTTGTTAAAATTTCTTAATGCCACTCTTGAATTACCTTCACATGAAACTATCAAGTCGATCATACATAATTCTTTTATTTCAATGAGAGGTGATGTTTAAACTCTCTTTGAACAAATTTCTGGCCAGATTTCAATAACATTAGACCTTTGGACTTCCTGTGCAAATATGCCTTTTCTTGGTGTTACTGCGTACTGGATTAACAAAGATTAGAACCTTAAAAAGATATTAGTTGATATGTGCATGCTACCACACCCACATACTGGTGAGGATATTGTAACACAATTGAAATCCATTTTAGCAATTTTTAATATTACAACCAAGATAATTTGTGCAACTACAGATAGCGGATCTAATGTTGTTTTAGCAATCTGCTTACTAAATATGCATTTATCTATGCAAAACCACCATTTTTATTCACATCGCTGTTTTGCACATGTGTTACATCTTGTTGTTATAGCAGGTATGGTGCCAATTAAAGTATCAATTGAAAAAGTACATAGATTCGTAAAAGCTATTACATCATCGTCCACAATCGCTCAAGATTTTAAGAAAATTGGACAGTTAGTTGGTGAAGGTGAGGTAGTTTGCAAAATTCCCAGAACATATCAACTAGATGGAATAGTACCTACCTTATGTTATCAGTTTATACGTCTATGCCTGTGATGATAGCAGCAGTTATGAGGCATCATAGTAATCTTGCCTATTATAGGCTTAGTCAAGAAGAAGATTCTGATCTTCAAGCTGTAACCCAGTTTTTACAATCGTTTTATAAATTACAAATATACTTTCTGGTAGTACATATATAACATTGGGCCTTTTTGCTTTATTAATGGATGATATAATTAATATTATTTCATCATATATTCAAGATTTATCAAGTTCCCAATTTCTTAAAACTGCTGCAACACATAATAGAAAAACTTAATTAATATATGGATCATATCTATAACAAAGCAGCTTTTATGGCTTCGATTCTTGACTCCCGAATAAAACTTGAATTAATGCCAGTTAATATGAACACACCAGAAAATCAGAATTATTTTAGTCAGATTTTTCAGGAGTATTCAGAGTCTGGATTAAA